GAACCCACGAACCGCGAGATCATGACCTAAGCGAAAGTCGGACGCTTAACCGACTAAGCCACCCAGGCGCCCCTAATTAATAGGATTTTAAAAATCACTGGTAGAGATAGATTCTCCCAGACTCAAAGAGAAAGATACAGAGAGCAGGTCCTGTGTGGTCTACCTCTCAAAAATGTTTGGGTGAGATATTCAAAGCTTTGTATAAAGAACAAATTCAATATGGGAAACCATATTTTTCCTGAAATCACATTTTGGCTGGACTGACAATTGAGACTTATACAAAGGAATTCCCATGAAGCACTTAAGATTACATTTCCTATTTAGACAAAAATCCCAGTTCATATACAATGTAAACTATGTGTTTTCTATAAATCCAGGGGAGGACAAATCCTACCTAAACTGTCAACTGGCTTGTTCAAAGGTTGGTAGGTACTGCAAATATATTTAATGGATACTCCACCCCCAGCCCTCTTCCTTCCCCAGTGTCCCATTCTTGGCAGGAGGCAAAAAGAGCAATGACTACTGGTAGAAGAGGTCCCCTTGGACTTTTATGATGAAAACGTTCTGGCAGTTGCTCCATCAGGCAACAAGGCTGCTGCCTTACAACAAGGGAGGTGCCTACTTCAAGAACCAGGAAAAGGGTGTCTGGGTGGCTCAGTCAGTTAAGTGTCCAACTTTGGCTCAGGTCATGATATCATGGTTCATGAGTTCAAGCCCTGTGTCGGGCTCTGTGCTGAGAGCTCAGAGCCTGGAGCCTACTTCGGATTCTGTGTCCCCTCTCCTCCTCACACTCTGTCTCTCTCTCTTAAAAATAAATAAACATTAAAAAAAAAAAAGAACTAGAAAGAAATGAACAGAGCAAATGTTTTAGGAGTGACAGCCTTTCCCCCTTAAAAGGATTCCATTTAGAAGAATACTTGCTGAACATTTCTCTGTGATGTTGGTCTGGTACATAATTGTGCTCTGCACTTCAGAGAAGGGCAATTAGCACCATTCAAGTCATGTTGGAAGCAATAATAATAAATGATGATGACAACTAGGTATAGTGTTTCAGAAACACTAATCACCTCTGATCTTTACCAGAACTCTGGAAGATGGGTGGTAACTCCATTTTATTTTACTTTTTAAAGATTTTTTTTTTACAGTAATCTATACCCTCAGCATGGGGCTTGAACCGACAACCCTGAAATCAAGAGTCACATGCTCTACTGACCGAACCAGCCAGGTGCCCTGATAATTCCATTTTACAGATGGACAAAGTAAGGCTTACAGAGGTTAGAAGATTTGCTCAAGGCTGTACAGACAGTAAGAAGCAGAGTCATTTTCTAAACCCAGATCTTCTGACTCCATGCCCCATAATCGTGTTCCCGGCTCTAGTTAACTAGTGAAACACTACAGTCACAACTCATTTGTCTACCCGTGAGATTGTAACCGTGAGATTGGGAGAGTAAGGGGCAAAGTCACTGACAAGTCCAGACAGGACAGGACTCTCGCACCCCAGGCCTGCCCCAGAGCACAGGGTGAGCAGCTGCAGTTCCTAGACACAGGCACCAGGAGCAGTGAGCGCATCCCAGACCTGGCTGTGAGGAAGGTAACAGAACAAGCATGCTTTGGGCCCCCTCTGGGGTGTGGCAGTGGGATCAGTACTTTGTCTTAGGTTTAAAATGGGGAAACATTTGAACACTGAATTCAGGGCTGTCCTCGGTCACAGCCCTGGGCCAAGCTCCTCAGCAGAGAAGTCCTACCTAGCCAGTCAAGTTCAGCACTGTTAGGCCCCAGGGATGAATGTTAAAGAGCCTCTCAAGGCCTTGCCGATAAACCCCTAAAAAGACCAACAGGAAAAAACCCACATGCCTAGCCATTCCATGTGAATTGGTGAATATTCTGAGGGTGAGACCCTACTGGCCCATGGCAGTACCTAAGTTCCAGAAACAACAAATACTGCTCTATGGAAAAAGCAAAATGTTAAGTCTGCGGGCCTAAACTTGGCAACTGTACTTTAGAATTTACTTATAAGTCAGCTGTTTGAAAATTAGAATACACCCATAGATTCTAAAGCCCATCAACAGCACTTAGTTTCCAGTCTAGCCTCCAAAGCCTGTTTAGCCTATTATGTACAAAAACATGGTAGTATTCCAGCTATCCTAATCACATTTCAGTGGGGAAGCCAAGTCAAAATTCCAAATCACAACAATTAGAAATATTTCTCCTTTCTCAGCTCAAGTGGTCCATGCAGGTCCCAAGAAAGCAGAAGGACCAAGGTAGGTGCAACTTCAGCCCAGTAGCTTCCTAAAGCCCCAGTCCTCAGGGTTGGTTTCTCCTGCTCTCGTGGTTCTGACCTGGGGAACAAGGGCACTCGCCAGACAGATCGGAGGGCAAAGGGCCATGTCTAGCTCTGTCTCCTTGTACCTGGAGGCTGGAGGCATGGGCCGAAAAAAAGCTCAGTGATGTTCAGGTTAAAATAAAAGCCTTTGGCCTTATTTTTCAAACCACTCTTGCTTGAAATTCTAAAAACTAAAAGTGCTTATGTCATTACAGGATGAGAGCTGTGACAGGCTGCGTCTAATACTGTATAACCCCTTCTGAGAGGGCAAAGTCCCTAACTGCTCTGTTGCCACATCTCTGCAAAGCAGCGACCAGGCACACTGGCAGCTAAACAACGTGGTCCTTTCTGTAAAGCAAACAAAAGCCAAAGCTGTACATTTGTGCATGCGCACATACGTACCCAGACAGCAGTCTGGAATGGCACACGCCGGCAGGCTAACGGTGGCTGGCCACTTCTGGGAAGTGGAATGAGACGGGAGAGTAAAGCAGCAGTTTTATGTTTCACACTTCGAATTTCTTTTGAGAAGTACATTTTTTAAAAGTTTATTTATTTAGAAAGAAAGACAGCGACAGTGTGGAAAGGGGCAGGGAGAGAGAAAATGCCAAGTAAGGCTCTAAAGCCCGTCAACAGCACTTAGTTTCCATTCTAGCCTCCAGTGTAGAGCCTGACACGGGCTCGAACTCACAGACCCTGAGATCATGACCTAAACTGAAACCAAGAGTAAGAAGTTTAACTAACTGAGCTACCCAGGTGCCCCAAAAAGTCTATATTTTTAAAAAAATGCTTTATGTATATCTTACACATGTAACTAAAAAAAATACTTTATCACAAGCCATTTTAAAAACACTTCAAAATGGTAATTTCCCTGAATATAAAATGCGATCATAGAAATAATCAGAAATTTAAAATATTCTCGGAAAGATTCAAAAGAAAAAGACCAGCAGGCTCAGTAAACTATAGCCCATGGGCCAAATCCAGTTCAACACACAGGTCCAGAAGGTAAAACAGGTTTTTACATTCTTTGAAAGGTTGTTAAAAAAGGGGCAGGGCGGGGGGGGGGGGGACACCTGAGTGGCTCTTGATTTCGGTTTCGGCTCAGGTGATGATCTTGTGGTTTGTGAGACTAAGCCCCACATTTCACTCTGTGCTGATAGTGTGGAGCCTGCCTAGGATTCTCTTTCCCCCTCTCTCTGCCCCTCCCATGCTTGTGTGCACATGCTCTCTCTCTTCTCTCTGAAATAAATGTAATTTACTATTTGCTTGGTACAGAAAAAAAGTCTAATGATCCCTAATTTACACCACTAATACTGTCTCTTTTCAAATATAGTTCTAAAATTCTCTTGAAAACGCCTTCAAAATCACTTTTAAACCATACAGATTAGTCACATTACTTAAGATTCTATTTTTTATCTCCCCTAAATTTACAGCAGTATAAATTAGCTTGTTTAGCTACCCTAACCAGAGCTGGCTCAGAAGAAGTGATTTCCTAAAATCAAATTCAGCCCCAGGATGGAAAGGGACATTCTCTGTCCTAGCATCCAGGAACCTAACCTCTCTGACACACTGTTAAAAGGTACAAGGACTTGAGAAATCAAACTCAGAATAACTCTCTGAGCAGCTAACAATGATTTTTAAAATCTAGCAGTGACACTAATTAGTGACACTGATCTAGCAGCAGATCAGGAAGAAGGTCATCTTTATTCATAATGAAATTTGTATCTTAATCTTATATTGGAATCTAAAGCCCTAAAAGAGGGAGAATATTTCATTTTGACTAAGAAAGACCTTAAGAAATGTATTAACCAATTAATTTAGAACTGGAAAAATAACGGACGAATGGATCAAGAAGATGTGGTTTATCTACACGATGGAATACTACATGGCAATGAGAAAGAATGAAATCTGGCCATGTGTAGCAACATGGATGGACCTTGAGGGTGTTATGCTGAGCGAAATTAAGTCAGGCAGAGAAGGATAAATATCATATGTTTGCACGTATAGGAGGATTAGGAGGAACTTAACGGAGGACCGTGGGGGAGAAGAAGGGGGGAAATAGTGGGGGAGAGGGAGAGAGGCAAACCATGAGAGACTCTTGAATGCTGAGAACAAACTGAGGACTGATGGGTGTGGGGGGAGAGGGGGGTGATGGGCATGGAGGAGGGCACTTGTGGGGATGAGCACTGGGTGTTACATGGAAACCAACTTGACAATAAACTATTTGTAAAAAAAAAACAAAAAAAAACAAAAAAAAAACCAAAAAAACCCCAAAGAACTGGAAAAATAATTTATCCAGTAGACATGTGTGAACTTCCTACATTAAACCAATGGTTCTATATGATGACAATTCACAAAGTTCATAATCATATTAGAATTCTCAGTCCCCACTTTTAGCAGTATGCTATTTGGAAATAAAGTTTCAAGTTCAAAACTTAAAGGACATAAAATACAGGCTGATTTGTTTAACAGTCTTTTAACCTACTTAATTTGCAATGAAGAAATGAAAGCAATTTAGAACCTGGTATGCACAATTTTTTTTTTTTTACAAGGACAGAGTACCAACAGAAAGAAGATAAAGATCATCACTGTTGTGATTTAGGGAAAAAATGAAGACAGCATTCTCACTTCCCTCTAGAATACATTTTCCTGCCCAAGTACGACACACAAGACACTCTACCTCAATGTCCTGGAGGCTGAATTCCTTCTGATCGGTAAAGTTTGCGGCCCCGGCACTAAGTTCCATCAGCATCTTGGCGATCTCGGGCTTTATGGCTGAAGTCAGCCGACTGGCTGCTTCCATGACGTGCTCCTGCACATCTTTAAGCTGCATGGCTGCCTTGGAGTAGTGAGAGTTCCTGAACACAGTGCTGAAGAGATCCGTGAGGAAAGTACTGGCACGGCAGAAGACGTTGAGGGCATCCAGGTACTTGGAGATGCCCTGCTGGATGTCGGCGATGGGAGCGGAGTGGGGCATGGCGTGGTGGCAGCTGCCCGCGGTGGGCAGGCTGCCCAGGGGCGCGGTGGCGGCCGTCGACGCCAGGGGAGCACTCAGCGCTCGGCCCAGCTCAGGCATCGGGAACTGCTGGTGCTGCTGTACCTTCTGCTTGGACCCGCCAAGCAGGAAGCGCCGCTTATAGTCCATTTTACTGTCCTGGGCGCTGCAGCAATGCATGCGGGAGGGGTGGCTGTCCCGGGGGCCGTGAGTGGGTCCGGGTCCTGATTCTTTTTGTTCCCCCCAAAACTGTAGCTAGGTATAAAAATAGTGGAGTTCTGCAAATCTAAGTTTTAAAAAAGGCATTTCCATGAGGCAGGTGACCATGTGATCCAAAGTAGATGCGAGAACAATGGGCTTAGGTAATTAATATTTTCAGTGTAGGCAGGACCTCTGACCAAAAATAAACATGTGTCCAAAATGCTGTATAAGGACTGTTAGCATTCCACTCTCTTAATAAAAAGATATGCTTGCTGAGAAAAATGTTTACCTATAATTGCTTTGCAAGAATATTCTGATACTTGTATTTACAATGGCAGAAAAATAACTTAACTTTTAAAAAATGTAATATAATGTAATATAATGTATCTCCAATATACCAGAAAAGTTAGAACCCCCAAACCCACAAGCTGATCAACAGCAATTTAAAAAGCAGTCCAGTTACTTCACACTGAGTCCTGAAGAAGGAAGATGAAACCTCTGCAGAGTTTTGACAGAGCCCGCCTGCCAAATCCAGTCACCTGCAAAGCTTCCTCTCAATGCGAAACATTTCCAAATTTCCTTTCACATTTTCTGAAAACAAGCTTTTTTTTTAAATTTTAAAAATGGCATTTGTTATTATAAGTCTCCTCCTCCTTTCCTTTTGTTTGCTGAGGTAGCAGTTTCCTTGTAACAGTAAGAGGTGCTTCCAGACTGGGCTGGCCCTCAGTTGTAAAGTCTGAAGCAAGAATGCGCAGATGTATTTGTAAGGCCTCTAAGTCATTTCCTGTGAGGGGGGGAAAATAAGATAAAGTTAGGAAAGTTACAGGACAATGAGGAATTCTGAAACATTAACTCCTGAAATTCTACGATCCACAAAGGCGGGTCATAAGTGAGTAAGAAACCAAAGGCAACCTTACAAAAGCAGGTAGGAGAGCTAGAGTTGAACCATAACATGATGACTATTAGAAAATTCCTCAAGTTGTGGATCAAAAATAGGGCAACCAGGAGAATTTGATTCTATATCAACCACTCCAAAGCTGAGGCTAACAGGGCCTGGATTCGTGCTGGTATTCGGCAAAACCCTTGATTCCTCCTCAAAGAGCTCATACATTTGCAAGAGGATCAGGAGAGTACCCAGATCACGGTGCCGATGGTCAACAGCTACAGCATTCATACAGCCGTAAGGGGGACTGGAAAAGAGAGGCAGGAGCCAAAACAGAGAGATCAGGAAGGTTGCTGCAAAGAAAATGTTACTGTGACGTAGCCCTTGACCGAAGGATAGGTTTTCACAAGTGCAAAAGGGACAGGTGGGGTTCACCAGCTCAAAGGAACCAAGAGCAAAGAGCCCAAGGACGACGGCACAGGGCCCACTCAGGATACTCCAGCTGGGTGGAAGTGCGGCGCACAGGCAGAGCCTGGAGCGGTGAGTGGCTGACAGGGGCTCGGCAGACAGGATTCTCATCGCCCTTAGCCAGGTTCCCCTCTGGATGTTCAAAGGCAAGCCTGGCGGGGTGTGTGCCGGTTCTTATACGCTGGGGCAGCTTCTGTAGAAACCCCAGCTCTGTACAGGTGCTAATAGCAACGTCTGGGCATCTCTGGTTATAGTTCCTGATACCTTTAATGTTAATTTATTTTTGAGAGAGAGACACACACACAGAGTACAAGCTGGGGAGGGACAGAGAGAGAGAAGGAGACACAGAATCCGAAGCAGGCTCCAGGCTCCAAGCTGTCAGCATTTAGCCCGACATGGGGCTCGAACTCACAGACTGCAAGATCGTGATCTGAGCTGAAGTCGGACGCTTAACTGACTGAGCCACCCAGGTGCTCCTCTGATACCTTTAACAGTGAAGTAATGATTCTTCCCACACAGCTAATATCAGGGTTCACATTTGCCTGAACCATCTGTTCTCCCAAACATAACAATAGTTCAAGTCTTTTTTACCAAGCGTTATATTTAGTCTCTATTAAACTACAAAGTACACAATCTCTGAATACAGTCTGGCCTACTTATTGATAACTAGGTTTTCTTTCTTTCCATTTCCTTTTTTTGTTGATGAAAAAATACAAGTCACACTTTGTCCCTCATCTTAGCCAACTACCTACCATGCCTTTTTCAATTGCACAAGGAACCAGGGAAGGTAGGGAGGTAGTTAAAAGAACAAGAGATGAGAGATACAAACACACATTCTAAAGGTGTAGCAACCCTAAGCCAGCTCGCATATAAGTGCAATCAAACTGGTGGCCATTTGCAGCTCTGCATTCAGCAGAATCTTCTCTCTTAAAAAATCTCAGAAACTTTTTAAGAAACAACATATCAGACAACTACTTGTAAGAAATGTACCCAAATGTTCTTTTTTCAAATTCATGACAATAAGGAAATCCTACCCATCCATACCCAAAGGCTCTATTATAACCGCTGTAGCTTTACAAATGCTGATGTAGGACAGAAGTCCTCAACAGGAATGCTATTCCCACAGAAACCGTGTGCTCTCTGACAGAAAATCATCACCTTGCAGTGACTAGTGAGCGTCTTGTGCAGTTCCGAGGAGCACTCTTTCTTTCTTCTGTGTGACACACTGGGGCCTGTGGTTCTGACAGTCCACCCCCATTGCTCTGCTAGCTGGTCCTAGAAGGCCAAGTCAGACCGATATGCTTACCTAATTTTAAAGAAAGCATCATAAACATTATACTCTTTTTTTGCTTTACATCCTTCCAAAATGTATTTGAATCAAACTTATATATAATGCTTAAAGATAATACTACTTCACCAAATGCATCTACAAATTCAAAATCAAATCCTGAACCACTTTCTTTAAGAAACCAGCAAACTGATCCTTAAATTCACATGGAAAGGCAAGGGACCCACGATGGTAAAACATAAATTAGAAAAAATACATTGTTGGGGCGCCTGAGTGGCTCAGTTGGTTAAGCGTCCGACCTCAGCTCAGGTCATGATCTCAAAGTTCATGACTGAGCCCAGTGCCGGGGCTCTGTGCTGACAGTCTGCTTCGGATTCTGTGTTTCCCTCTCTCTCTGCCCCTCCCCCACTCGCACTTGCGTGCTTCCTCTCGCTCTCAAAAATAAACAAACATTAAAAAAGAAAGAAAAAACATGTCGGAAGGTTCACACTTCCTGATTTGAAAACCTACTAAAAAAGCTATAACAGGGGCGCCTGGGTGGCTTAGTCGGTTAAGCGTCCGACTTTCGCTTAGGTCATGATCTCGCGGTTCGCGGGTTCGAGCCCCGCGTCGGGCTCTGTGCTGACTGCCAGCTCAGAGCCTGGAGCCTATTTCGGAGTCTGTGTCTCCCTCTCTCTCTGACCCTCCCCTGCTCACGCTGTCTCTCTCTCCTAGAAATAAATAAAAATATTAAAAAAAAAAAAGAAAAGCTCTAATAATCAGTGGAGTAGTGGCATGAGGAAAGACATAAAAATCAATGGAATAGATAAACATTAAAAAAATTTAAAAAGAAACAAAAACAAGTATGGGCAACGATGTGGAGAATCTGGAACTCTCATACAGTGTTGGTGGGAATCTGAAATGATGCAAACCACTGTGAAAAGCAGTCTGGCAGTTCCTCAAAATGCTAAAGAGAGTTGCCATATGCCCCAAAATTCCACTCCAAAGTATATAGCCATGAAAACTGAAAATATAAGTTCATATAAAAGTTGCACATGACAAATAAAATCATAAGTGAAAAACTTACACACAAATAAATGTCCACAGCAGTGTCATTCATAATAGCCAAAAAGGGGAAACTGCCCAAAGTCTATCAACTGATAAATGAATAAACAGGATGTGGTACAGCCATACAATATATTCAGCCATAAAAAGGAATGAAACACTGATAAATGCTACAATGTGGATGAACCTTGAAAATACATGGTAAGTGAAAAAAGCCAAACACAGAAGGCCATATAATGAGAGAGTCCATTGACATGAAACATTCAGACAGAACAAAGCTATGGAGATAGAAAAAAGTAGACTAGTGGTTGCTAGGAATTGAGGACAGGAAGAGAATAGGGAATGATTGCTAATTAAAATTTTTTTTAATGTTTTATTTATTTCTGAGAGAGACGGCATGAGCAGGGGAGGGTCAGAAAGAGAGGGAGATATAGAATCCAAAGCAGGCTTCAGGATCTGAGCTAGCTGTCAGCACAGAGCCCGACGCAGGCCTTGAACTCACAAACCATGAAATCGTGACCTGAGCCGAAGTTGGGCGCTTAACCGACTGAGCCACCCAGGTGCCCTGGAATGATTGCTAATTAACACAGAGTTTCTTCTTGGGGGTGATAAGGATGTTCTAGAACTAGATGGTGGTGATGACCATACAACTTTGTTAATACAATAAAACCCAGTGAATTTCACACTTTAAAATGGTAAATTTTATGGCATGTGAATTATATACCAATAAAAAAGGAGATACAGAAAAACATATATACCACTGGCTTCCAGAAATGTCTATTTAGGATAGATGAACAAAGGTCTGATAAGCTACATGTGAAAAATGACCCACTGGTTCCTGGGCAGATCTGCAGCATTGTGGGTAGTTATTGACTAGCCAGGGTGGTGATTACCTGGGTGTTTACTTGGAGGTAAAAAAGTCAAGCACTGTTATTATAATTTGTACACTTTCTGAAGTTATTCTTCAGCAAAAAATTAAAGGAAGATGGGGCACCTGGGTGGCTCAGTCGGTTAAGCGTCTGACTTCAGCTCAGGTCATGATCTCACGGTTTGGGGGTTCGAGCCCCATGTCAGGCTCTGTGCTGATGGCTAGCTCAGAGCCTGGAGCCTGCTTCCGATTCTGTGTCTCCCTCTCTCTCTGCCCGTCCCCTGCTCATGCTGCCTCGCTCTCTCTCAGAAATAAATAAAACATTAAAAAAAAAAAAACAGAAAGAACCAAAAGAAACCATATATAAAGAGCTAAAGGAAAGGATGACAGTGCTGTCTCAGCTTATACGGAATACCAATAAAAGACAAAAACTGTATTAAAAAAAACAGAACCAAAGAGAAATTCTGGAGTTTAAAGATATAATAACTGACATAAAAAATACACTAAGTGGTTCAACAGCAGATCTGAGCAGGAGTCAGCTGCTCCTGCTTGAGTCACTTGAACATAAATCAAAATCATCCAGTCTGAGGAGCCTCAGAGACCTGTGAGACACCACTGGGCACAGGATGGGACTCCTACAAGGACTGGAGAGGCAGGCACAGAAAGAATATTTGAAGAAATAATGGCCAAAAACTTCTCAAATTTGATGAAAAATAGGAATCTACACATATATGAAGCTCAACAAATCCAAGTAGGATAAAATTATCAAATTGCCTAAAGCCAAGGAGAATCTTGAAAGCAGTAAGAAACAAGCAACACATTGTGTACAGCTGAACCTGTTATTTATAGTAGTTACATTATGTAAGGTCACCAAGCAGACTGTAATTCACGAGTGCTGAATCAGTGCTCTTAGAAGATACACAGAATTCAATTCCTATGAGTCTCTGGTCATAACATTTTCATCAAGCAATCAATACACAACCTTGTTTTTACGTGTTTCTCCTTACACATATCTTATTTAATATATGTTGTTGGTTCATTAATATTGAACTTACAGCCAATAGGACTACCTCATGCTTTAATGAAGCTTATCTAACACATGCATTTTATCCATATGGCACATCATAGCTTTCTTGGGCTTAGGAACACTTGACAGCTCTGTAGCACTATGCTTGGGGCCATTTTAAACAGTGAAATTGCCAACAGAAAGCATAAAAATGCAAAACCTGGGGCGCCTGGGTGGCTCAGTCGGTTAAGTGCCCGACTTTGGCTCAGGTCATGATCTTGCAGTTCATGTGTTCGAGCCCCGCATCGGGCTCTCTGCTGACAGCTCAGAGTCTAGAGCCTCCTTCAGATTCTGTGTCTCTCTCTCTCTCTCTCTCTGCCTCTCCCCTCCTCATGCCCTGTCTCTATTTCTTAATAATAAATGTTAAAATTTTTTTAAAAAATGCAAAAACTGTGGCACTGGATAGATTATGGAATGGACACTTGTTTACACTCTGAGAGTTGAAATAAGATGGCAGAGCATCACCTTGTTTGACAGCCATAGGGGTGTGCACACTGGGGAATTAAAAATTTTTGGCCACTCTGCACATGTCCAAAAATGACCATAAGAGCTTCACAAGTACTGATTTTGTATTACAAATAAATTTTAGTCACTAAGTCAATCCACAAATACAGAATCTGAGAATACTGAGGATAGACTATACAAATATACTACCTGAAATACCTGTATTCTCAACATAATGGGGTATGCCTCGTCTCAAAAATTTAATATACAAGACATCAACTTTTGAAACAATCACAGAGCTAATGAACATCTTAAAGATACACAGAGGTTGCTCTTTATGTAGTGAACCCTGAGAATGCTTAACGTTCTGGAACGTAATGGAACGTATCAAGAGTTCCATTGTGCGCAACCTGTCAAGATTTCATTGTGATTTTTAAAGGCTCAAGCCTATATAAGGTACAGTCCACCTCATACTTAGAAGTGTATAGTTTTATATGATCAAATTTTTTTTTTTTTTTTTTTTTATTTCTAGGAGAGAGAGAGACAGCGTGAGCAGGGGAGGGTCAGAGAGAGAGGGAGTCACAGACTGAAACAGGCTCCAGGCTCTGAGCTGGCAGTCAGCACAGAGCCCGACACGGGGCTCGAACCCACGAACTGCGAGATCATGACCCAAGCGAAAGTCGGACGCTTAACCGACTAAGCCACCCAGGCGCCCCTTACTTATATGATCAAATTTATACTTTAAGAGAACAATTACATCTGGTGAATCATTTACTCCTTTTCCTTTCAAAAATGTATTATTTAAAATTTTTATTGACATTTTCCTTATGTAACTTCTCATTTAACAGCAAAAGCTATATCATAAAAAAACAAGTTTCCCAGGGATACCTTTAATGCCAGCCTTCGTCTCCTTTTCATACATTAGAAAGTTGTATTTAAATCCTGCTAACCAGGGGCACCTGGGTGGCTCAGTCGGTTGAGCATCTGACTTCGGCTCAGGTCATGATCTCACGGTTCGTGGGTTCGAGCCCCGCATCAGGTTCTGTGCTGACAGCTAGCTCAGGGCCTGGAGCCTGCTTCGGATTCTGTGTCTCCCTCTCTCTCTGACCCTCCCCTGCTCATGCTGTCTCTCTCTCTCTCTCAAAAATAAATATTAAAAAAAAAATCCTGCTAACCAGAATCTAGAAATGTCAGTGTCAAAAAGATCCATAAAGATCATCTGATTTAAGCCCTCCACTTTACAGATGAGGGGGAAGATCCCAGGACGCTGAACAGCTGGCACTAGACTATAGAGCGCCTGGATCAAACTTGGGCGTACGGACTCTCAGAGTTGTGAATGCATACGTAAATGTTCTGTTCTGAACTATCCCCACTGGCAGGCAGATTAAGCTATGCTGCAGCAACAAATCCTGAAACAAGTGGCTTAACCTGACAGATTTATTTCTTGCTCACATGAAGTTCAGAGTGGGTCTGGCAGCCCTTCTTCAACGTGTCGTGACATGATTGGAACTTGTGTTTTCCAGTCATCTCAGCACAAAAAAAAGGAACTCAGACCTACTCTTCACTGCTTCCCACTGGAAGCAACAGACATCACTTCCCCTCATGGCCCTTTGACGAGTATTAGTCACATGGTACCAGTGTTGCCGACAAGAGAGGCTGGGAAACGTATGGGCCCACACGGAATACTGGGTAAACATTACCGTCAGCCACAGCTGACAACCCGGCCTTGCTGGGTGTTGTGCAGTTCTGACCGGAGGGTGGACAGAATTCTGATTCCACATGGCAGAGGCTGTTTGGTAACGCAGAGTCCTCAAAGTTGCTTTCCAGATGCCAGGTGATTCCCACATGGGCTGCTCCGGGACGTGGTTCTGCGTTGTGTGTACATCCACAGAGTTGGGGAGTGGAAGGTGTGGGGAGGGAAAGTCATAGACTCCTTTGAGAAACTGATGAAAAAAAACTCCTAGTCAAACACATATCCAAAACACGGAAGTTTCCGTTCAGTTCTGGAATTGGAGCCCCACGTGATGACCCTACCTGCCCTCGTACACCCTGTGCTTCAGGGAGCACCTGTAGAATTCCTTCTAACAAGACCATGTAAGTCCCACAGTCAAGTGGGTTCTTCCCTGAGCAAAGAACACACACGCCCCTTAAGAAGATGAATACTGGCTTTTACTTATTCTTAACAGATCTGTTTTGTTCCCGTGCTGATCTCTGCTGGAGTAAAACTAGACAGTGGTGAATTCAAGAAAATATGATGCAATTGAAATACCACTCAGGTTTTATAGTTTTCAAATAGGATTCCGCCAAGATAAGACGCAGGAAAGGTGGTGACATCTATTTAAGGAGTCGTCTTCACGGCAGTGATAATATCCCTGACAAAATACTGTTGGAAGCTGGGTGATTGGTACCTGAGATCCAGCACTCCATTTGCTCTACTGCTGTGTATGACTGAACATTTCCACAACAGAAAGTTAAAAAGTTCAAAATGCACACAAACGTGCGCAGAAGCACCTGGATATATCCCTTTTGTTATTTTTGTACATAAAATTCTTCTCAACGCTTAATATTTTTCTAATGCTTTCACCCCATATTCATCTGCCTGAAGGGCTAAAATATGATCGGTCCCTTAAGGACATTTCTGTATTTTCTTAAACAGAATTTTCACTGGGAAAATATTCATCACTTATAAATCCATTATTCATATGCATTGTAGAAATCAATATATATTGTGAAAGACCTCAGAAGTTAGTTGTAGTCAAGACTTGTAAGATTTAAGTCATTTTATTCATAGGTTATAATGCTTCCTAAGATTCACAAACACAGCTGAAGAGGACATTTTAGTAGATAAGTCACGTTTTTCAACACCACGGTAGTTTGCTAAATTCTCAATAGATTAAAACTGAACCCAGACCTGATTCTATCATTTAAAACCTTCCTTTCCGCAATCGAATTCATCAGCAATTCTATTTCAAACAATAACAAAGAACATGCTGGAAACTAGACAAAGTAAGGTCAGCCTGAGAAAATCTGAAGAGCTTCCCTTTATAGAAAGTATGGTGGCTTAAGAGAGTGATCTTGGGGACTGGCTAACTGGGTGGGATCCTGGCTCTGCCACTTACCAGCTATGTGGCCGTGGCAAGTTCTTTAACCTCTCTGTGCCTCAGTTTCATGGTCTGTAAGATAGGAGTAACAACAGTAACTACTGTTATGAAGTTAAATGAGTTTATACACAGAAAGCACATAGAATAACATCTGGTACATCCTGAGCACTAAATGATGAACTTATTATCATTCCCATATGATAAGTGAGAGTAAGCAGGCCTTGTTATCTCTGCTTGTTTGGAAAAAAGTACAAACAAAGGTCCTTAAAGTCTCCCAACCACTGAACTGAGTAGAAATCTACATATCTCAGGGCAGGAGGCATCACATGTTTCAATGATGTGATAGGTATGATTTGTGAACACAGAGAATAGTTTTAAACCTATCTCAGTCATGAAGCCAGGAGAGAAAATGGGAGTGAAAAGCAGTCCTGTTCTCTACGGCGGTATAGCACAAAGGAGCTTTACTTTAGGATGACAGGCTAAATAAACAGGCACACGTACTTACCTTCCCACTGGCCCCAAATCCTAATGAAATAACCATAAAGACATTCATAAGGGAATCACAACATAACAGTGATGAGAAGGGCTGAGGGATACAGTCTATTTAAATGCCGGTCACTTTCCAGACGATGAAGAGAAGGCAGAGGGAACTGTATGATACAGACCACAGCTGAGCTAAACACTTCCCAGAACATGCAGAGCCAAAGGCCTTTTTTCCTGGAGAAGCTGGATAAACGCCCAGCTTTGAGTCAGCAGGTACAGAAATCAGGAGTGGGAAATAGGTTCATCGACTTGATCTCCTCCATACTTCCCACTGGTGGTCATTCAATCAGTTAACTCCTCCTAAGGCGAAAGGACTGCTGGAAAAACAGGAACCTGTTCTCAATTACCTGTATCATCAACCCAGTTCTTCATTGATAAGGATCATCAGACAGTAGACAAAAACAAAAACAAAAAACCCCCCAAAAAAACAAAAAACAAAACAACCCCCCCAACAATCAGAGGACAAAAAAGGACACCTAAGATGAGAAGCAGATCAGACTCCAGAAGAAACATATATTTTAAGTCCCTGAAATGAAATTCAAACTGGTATCCTCAGAAAGATATCAGATAATGCATCCTTAAACAAAAGCAAGCAAACCATAAAGGAAGCAAAAATCAAGAAATAATTCTTGAAAGTAAGAAATATGATCGTGGGGCGCCTGGGTGGCTTAGTCGGTTAAGCGTCCGACTTTCGCTTAGGTCATGATCTCGCGGTTCGTGGGTTCGAGCCCCGTGTCGGGCTCCGTGCTGACTGCCAGCTCAGAGCCTGAAGCCTGTTTCAGTCTGTGAGTCCCTCTCTCTGACCCTCCCCTGCTCACGCTGTCTCTCTCTCTCTCCTAGAAATAAATAAAAAAATTAAAAAAAAAAAAGTGTTAAAAAGAAATATGATCGCTAAAATGAAAAGCAAGGGAAAAATAAAATGAGAGTGAAGTAGGGTGCAGGAGACATGCACACACATTTGCTTATAGTAAAGTAAGCAATAGAAGAATAAATCAAAAACCAATAAAAATGTAGGGGCACCTGGGTGGCTTAGTCGGTTAAGCGTCCGACTTTCGCTTAGGTCATGATCTCGCGGTTCGTGGGTTCGAGCTCCGTGTCGGGCTCTGTGCTGACTGCCAGCTCAGAGCCTGGAGCCTGTTTCAGTCTGTGACTCCCTTTCTCTCTGACCCTCCCCTGTTCACGCTGTCTCTCTCTCTCTCTCTCCTAGAAATAAATAAAATATTTAAAACAAAAACAAAAACAAAAAAAACAATAAAAATGTTACCTGTGTGGTACAGAGAAGAACAAGAGCATCGAAGGAAGCCATATTTCTCTCAATCTACCTTGCTTTATAGTTTTATCTTCAGGACCAAGTAAATGCTTTGTACAATTAAAAAAACAAAAGTAAATCAAAAAGAAAACAATCCCTAAAAATAAAAAAAAAAAAGAACCTAAACTATTTATCAAATTGGTGGCATAACCACACAGAGAAGGATTATTTCAAGTTGAAAACAGTATTTTTACTATAACTCTTTGGTGTTACTGCCAACAAAGGAGAACAGACACAAATATAAGATCAAAGAAATAAAAATCCTTTAACGATTCCTCTGATTTTGAGATTTTAGCTTGAAATCACGATTTACCTTTTTCTTTCCAAAATGTACAGGTTTACTTTACTAAAAAGTCCTAGAAGGATTCACATCTCAGTTGTAATGAATGCCCCTAACACCCCTAAAACCAGAGCTCCTTATACAAATGGCTGATAGATCTGGGGTCAGAAACAAAAAAGATAAGCCAGAATTCTTATCAGGCCAGAAAGCAAGGAATTCTTCTATTGTGACTCCTGTCAAAAGGACTCAGACTTAACCTGGAGAATAAGCTGTATTAATGGCCAATAATGGGACAATTTAAGCATAATAAATAAATAAATAGATAGATACTCCCCTAAAGCAAAATTCATTAAATACATAAAAATTAATGAGTTTGGACTTGGCAATGATGTCCTGGATAAAACACCAAAGCACAGGCAACAAAGGAAAAAAAATAGACAAACTGAACTCATCAAAATTAAAACTATTATGCATCAAAGGACACTATCAACAGAGTGAAAAGGCAACCCACAGAATGGGAGAAAATATATGTAAATCATGCCTCTGAAAGAGGATTAATATCCAGGATATATTAAATGTATATAGAGGACTACATACAACTCAAAATAAAAAAACAGAACAAAAACAAAAACCAAAAATCCCAAACCAAACAATCTAGTTTCAGTATGGACAAAGGATGTGACCAGATATTTGTCCAAAGAAATAGACAAATGGCCAATAAACACATGAAAAGATGCTCAACATCACTGAACATCAGGAAATTGCAAATCAAAACCACAATGACACACCACTACAAATCCATTAGGAGGGTTATTACAAAAAGAAAACACACACACACACACACACACACACACACACAGAAAATAACATGTTTGCGAGGATGTGGAAAAATTGGAGCCCTGGGCATCATCAGTGGGTATATAAAATGGTACTGCCGCTGTGGAAAACAATATGGCGGTGCTTCAAATAATTAAACGTATAATTACCATATGATCCTACAATTTCACTTCTCGGTATATATACAAAAGAAGTGAAAGCAAGAACTTGAATAGATATTTGTACACTGATGTTCATAGCAGCATTATTCAAAACAGCTAAAAGGTGGAAATAAGACAAATGTCCAACAATGGAAGAATGGATAAACAAAATGTGGTACAACCATACAATGGGATATCATTAAGCCTAAAAAGGAAAGAAATTCTGATACATGGTTCAACATGTTCGCCCATGTGTCAAGCTACTTCTCTACTTGTCAGGTCACTGTTCTACAGAAACCTGGCAGTGGTGGCAGTATCTGGGCACTTAAGTGCTAAAGGGAAGAAGGCAGAGATCATGGCCTCCACTTCTGAAGTCACAGCTAGGTAACAGGATCATCAAGCACCCCATTTCTTCACAAGTGAAGAGTACAGGCGGGTGGAGAGTGCTGCTGATTTCTCTGGGGAGCCTGTCCTTTATCTTTTACATCTGTTTACACATCTTTCACTATGTGCACGCACATGCATGTACACACACACCTAATTTCTCTAGTCAAATACATTCATCTGTTCTTTCAGTTTCAGGTTTTGCAACTTAATTTACCTTGCCAAAATTAATGATCAAATGTAGATGAACCTTTCGAAAAAGATACACAAATGGGCAATAAGCACATAAAAAGATGCTCAACATCATTAGCTCTCCAGGAAATGCAAGTTAAAACCATGA